TATTTGTGAGTGTGTTTCAAAGAAAAAACTAAGTCATATCAGTTTGGAGTGCCCAGTTGGCTAATTAATGTTTGGTTTAAATAAATGAAAAGGTAGTTCAAAGTGTGAAAACACACATGTGATGTTATAACTTAAAATTTGAACAGAGTGACATTAAAGCATGCTGTCAAACATAGTCTAGTGAAAACAGAGGGGAGGCAGGGCGACCGTAGAGGTGCTCCATGCTGAATCAAGTTTCAGTGTAATTGGGATCATGCGCAGCATGTGCAGTTTTGGCACATAAGTTCGATTAATCAGAGGAGCTTTAATCGTGAAGAATTCTCCTGTGTGTGGCTGGGCAGACGTTCAACTTATGAGCCCCTAAGTTGAGTTCTGTTTAAGTGCACACCTTTTGACTCCACAAATACCCATCTCAGAAACTGGGGGTCTTCCACCCCACACCCACCAATCCTAGCTCGCTTCTTGCATCAGAGCACGAACATGCCACCACAACAGGGTCCACTTAATGATTAAATTACACCTCACGTGGAAGTTCCAAATCACCAGATTCCTCGTAGCTGACTCTTCCTGCTGATTGTAATTTATGTCGGAAGTCATTGCTGTCCAACGCTCGGCCTTCACGAGGTCCAGACAGGAAAGAGAAGACATGTGGAGCATTTAGCCATATGCTGAACGTCTGGAGTTGGCATCACGCAGTCTGTAAACATACAGCCTTTCACAACACATGATTACAGGTAATGAAAGTTGCCATGGTCATCACTGCTGGCCTTTCATGCTGTTGCTAGAAGTGCGTGTGCACCTGTTCTTAATCTGCATAATGATTGCAGCAAGACCTGATTATGACATGGGTGAATACTGACAAATGGATAAACTGTTTAACCGAGACATAGGGAGTTGTAGGGCCTGCCGATATGCATGCACAGTCAGTCGTTTAAAACAAAAACACTAGTGAAGATAATGCACACTGATGGAGAGTTTGGGATTTTGTGTTTTTAAGCATTTTTAAGCGGATCACACAATGGAGCTAAATATATTTTCAGCTTTGCACAATCATTTTTAAAATCTTGATCTTGATTGAAGAGACCTGGAGTTTATCAAGTCCAGGCTGAGAGTCTGTTTCTGGGATGAGGTTTTGTTCACTTGAGTGCATTAGGCATTCCTGCCCATGACTTCATCCGCAATGGATTCTCTTCAATCCAGACGACAATGCGTGCATTTATTTTCCACAAGCTCTTGAGCTAAATACTTCAGAGTGAAATTTCAGCACCTGCATTGTAAACCCATCTCTTTTGTTCAGATGAAATCCATGCTAATGACGCTGGAAAGACTGCAAATAACATTAAATGTCCCATTAGAAAGGAAGAGTTGTATGGGATTGTGCAGGGTTTATTTCCTAAAACTTGTACTGTTGTCTTTGTGCACTTAACAGTATTAAGTGTCTTGTGGAACAGAAACTTAAACTAAAATGACCATCCTGTGGTTGCGTCTCCTAAAGTCTCCGCACCACCAGAGTGATCAGTACTCGTGTTTTCATGATATTTTAGTCTCTTTAACTGCTACAAATGTGTAAATAAAGCAGTAAACACCTGTCTGTAACAGTGAACCATGGTGTCCTCTGAATCATTTCACTCTAATGATTCTGTCACCAGCATTTGTTTCCTTTAACTTGTACTGTTGTCTTTGTGCACTTAACAGTATTAAGTGTCTTGGGGAACAGAAACTTAAACTAAAATGACCATCCTGTGGTTGCGTCTCCTAAAGTCTCCGCACCACCAGAGTGATCAGTACTCGTGTTTTCATGATATTTTAGTCTCTTTAACTGCTACAAATGTGTAAATAAAGCAGTAAACACCTGTCTGTAACAGTGAACCATGGCGTCCTCTGAATCATTTCACTCTAATGATTCTGTCACCAGCATTTGTTTCCTTATAATCCAGTTAAACACCAAATTCATAAACACCAAAAGGAAATCATTGCTGGTTATTATATGGTGTAGAAAGACCTGTATATTGAGCAGGTACCCTTAATACAGCAAAGAGGATATTCAGGGGATAGACTGTTGAGTTCAGGGCAGCATGTCTGTTATATATATCTTATTCTTATATACATATATATCTTGGTGACTGCCATTATTAAACTAATATTATAGCAAGGATTTTATTTGAAAGAACTGCATCTGTACATGTTGTATGTTTCTTTATTAATTGATGTTGTACAAATATCAATAGAGATATTAATATCACGTAAGGTTACTCCATGCACATTTTCATAACAAGTTTAAAATGTAGATAGTTTTAAAACTGCAACTACGTTTTTGTTTTATTAATGAATTTTGAGATTATTTTTATTTCTACCAAAACAATTAAAAACTAAATTAAAATTAAACCCACCGTGTCATAGTCTACGATTTTTTTATTATTATTTTGTTATATGCTCAATAAGGTTCAATAACTTTAATCGTCTCGACAAAATAACGTAAATTCTTTTCATGCTGGGTGACTCGCTGGAGGCAAAATCTTTGGCCTTAATTCAACACATTTGGATCTGACAGCTACAGTCACGAATTGTTTACGTGCTGATGTGACGAACTCCGTCAACTTCACGTAAGACTACAGTAAAACCTCAACCTACGATAATAGCCTACACTAAAAAATCTAATGTTTATAATGGCCTCATGTATTCAATTATAAAACTGGATTCTCAATAATAAGCTATCTACTCATATCTCTCTTAAAAGATAACGTGACCACGTTATCTGTAAATGCATAGGCCTGTAACATACTTTATGTAACTTTTTCCACAGATATGACCTTCACATAAAAGAGTTATTTCACTTTGCACTTAAATATAGTTAAACATGTATGTAATTAGATTTACTGGTGAAATTCCAGGCGCAACAACAAGTGCAAATGTGTGTGAGCTTGATAATGTCAGGTGGGTCATAAATAGACAAGCTCAAAGATCCCGAAAATATATATTTTTTCAATGTTTAAGAAAAATATCGGTGTTGTGGAGACTATTAGATTTGGTCAATATAACTAGACTATATGTCATTTGAATATACGGAGTTTTCGGAAAAGGCGGATGGAGACTGTGGGCTGGTTTGCGGCTGCTTAATTCAGGGGGAAAAAAAGAAAAAGAAAGAATGGTGCTTTGCCACGCGGCTAAATACAGCCTAATTAATGTTTTACTGTTATTGTACGCAACCACATATGGGCTATTGATGAGTGCCGTTGTTTTATGTGTGTTCTTGAATGATGATCCTGCCCTGGCACTATAACTCCAGTCTCCAGATTTATACAGGACCAAGAGAACCTATATTAGGATCAAATTTACCAAGATAATTGAGCACTGCAGCGCATCGTTATTCCTTCATTAATGTATGATTTTGATTAATAGCCTTGTCTGGAGTTCACATTGGTAAAACGAAACCAAGAACATGTGAAATTAATTGTACCAAATCACTAAGGTAATAAGGTATTCTCTTTATTCCAGGCAGGGTATCATTTCGTCCACCCAGACTAAACTATCAGGCCTATACATAAAAGAGACTTGGTATTAAAAATGTCTCATAATTATTTCCTTCACTGTTCGATGATTGTCTGATGAGCTCTTTGACAGCTGTACGTTATTTGTGTTCTTATTTTTGTATTAAATTGAATACGGACTTAATGAAAATGCCACAAATGTCCCAGCTCAATATTTTGTTGTAGGTACAGCCAAATATAGAATGAAACTGATCAACTGGATTTAAAAAAGAAAAAAGAAAGATATGACTCGTTCGTGATTCCGTTACAATAAAATTATATTAAAATATGTGTCCGCTAGAAGAGCGACGTATGAGAGTCTACGTCCGTAAGGGTTTACATATTTTAGACTACAGACAGTGACCCAGTGACATAACAAGATCACTGAAAGCAACACTTAAATATGTAGCTATATTTCTGCTGTATATCCATTGTTTATAGATAATTTAATGTAACCGGATTATATTGTTATAGGCTATTGGAGGATGATGCTGATGGGTGATATCAATAATTTTGTCCATTTGAGTGCATTATTACTTTATAGCTATATAGTAGCTTTTACTAGGCCACATCATCAACAAACTTTTTACATGTTGTAAATGCTAAGCAAAGTAGCAGCTGCCTCACCGGTATTTAAAAATGTAGTATGAAAATATATGAATCAAAGATTAGGCTAATAGAACGATTTGAATGTACAACTTAATTATATGCATTAACAGCCTTGTAAGTCTAATATTCTATTCGTTAATTTTCTTAATACAATTAGGCTATTTATAAAATGTTAGCCTACTGTTTATTTCAAAATAGTAGGCCTATTTTCTTGCATCATGAGGCAAGCAGGGCGTTAAATATGTTAGGCTTCTTAAAGAAAATCGAGAAAAGAGAAGTATTTTCTAAATAGCCCAATACCAAAGTGATCAGGAGAAAAATATCCTTTTAGCATTTTGCAAATACTGTGGTGCAAATTGAACAGGCCTACATAATGCAAATCGCTTACTTCAGACACTTCTTCTTGGCACCATAACCAGTGTCTTTGATTAAAACGATCTTTCTGTGAAAACAAATAACCTCACGTCGAAAATATTGTGTTACCACATATTTACTTTTACTGCGTAAACACGCCAAAATAAGTTTAATGCGCGGTGTGATGGCGCTCAGTTAGGCCATAAACAATTCCGCATAAAATTACACAGCTCGCATTCGATGAGCCTCAGAGATATGGAGCATGAATCGGACACAACATGAAACGAAAACCAGCAACGAGGGATTTCACATTATTTATGGTTATTATTATGAGCCTATTATTAGTATTTTTATTAACCTATTATGGTTGATTATCCTGCTGTCATTTGTGTCTTGTGGTGCCATATCTTAGAAAAAAATGTCACATTGCCACAACGTAAAACTGTCTTCGAAAAATTGAAATTTTAATTTTTTTTTGAATATTTTTGAAATACCAATGAAAAGCGTAAAAAAGCACAATATATGCCGATAAAAAGTTCATGATACCACAGCCTTCAATGCTGAGAAAAAGCTCATTCACTTCTAACCACCGCTCTGGTCCCTGGATAAAGTTCACTATGATTTTTCAAGGCCCGCAAAAGTTGGCGTAATCAAACAAACAAACAAAACATAGGTAGTATAAAATCAGGCCAAGTGGTTAGGTCTGTAAGTGCCAACATAAAGGCATCGGTGCACACTGATCCAAAGAGGCCGATTATAGGCACGTTCGCGTCCTGGAGACAAACATATTCGCACGGATGTCCTCGTTTATTCCTCTTGGCTTGCGTCAGAAAGTGAAGAAGCACCGCCGTCGGATAAGCGGTCCGCTTCTTGTGTCCTCTCCTGCTCCGACAGCTGCTCGCTGGTGGGGATGGAGTTCTTTTTTGGACGGCCCTTGGGTTTGGTCGGAGACTCTAGTCCTCCTCCTTGCAACACCTTCGAAGCAACAACGACACACATCAGTTTAGATTTTCACAGGTAGGCCTATGACAATTCAATCCTAATTTCTATGCCAATTATTATAACTTACGATTTTCTTCCATTTCATTCTTCTGTTTTGATACCATGTTTTGACTTGAAGCTGACTCAGGCCTAGAGACTCTGCAAGGTCTATTCTGTAAATATAGAAAGATGTCGACTAAGCCATTTCATAGACAACACCAATATGTTCTTTGCATGTAAGCTGTGGCTCCATAATTACGCTCATAACAAAATAATTCAACTAGGGAAAAAGTCAAACATTTACATTGTTTTAAATAGGCTACATAAAATAGCCTAATTGAAATTAAAGAGCGTGTTTACCTGTCAGGAGTTGAGAGATACTTCTGTTTCTCAAATCGTTTTTCCAAGCCCATCAGCTGTAGTTCGGTAAACACAGTTCTACTCCTTCTTCCTTTCTTAGTCCTGCTCAATGCATCAGCTCCAGGGTCGAGTTTTCCCCGAAGATGGAGGTCCAGCGGGAGATGATGGGATGAAGAGCCCACATGCAGACCCGCTGCGCCGGACAGAAGCGCAGAGCCCAACGGCGCCCCGAGCGAGCAGGAC